AGTTAAGATTGCTATATGGAAATTATGTATCAAACATTAGTCATAGAATCATAGAATAGTTAGGGTTGGAAAGACCTTAAGATCATCTAGCTCCAACCCCTCTGCAGAGGGCAGGAACATCACACACTAAACCATGTCACCCAAGACTACATCCAGCCTGGTCTTGAACACTGCCAGGAATGGAAAATTCACAGCTTCCTTGGGCAGCTTTGGGTAACAAATCCAAATCATTCATTTTACAATTTTCAGCTTGCCTCTTAAGATTTCTATGCTCATGATTTACTTTACAAGTGAACAGCTGCATCTAGTCAGGCCATAATACAGCTTCCTCTAATGACCCTGCAGAGGGGCTGGAACTAGCTTATCTTAAGGTTCTTTCCAACCCTAACTATTCTATGATTCCTACCTGTACTTCCAGTACGGCCACGTCAGCGTTGTACCTGAAACCTTGGCTATTTAACATTGGTGAGTTTTTTGCTTCTGAGGGATTCCACAAGGTTGAAATCCCAGCAATTGTGCCAGTCATAGCAAAATCCACCTCCATAGCAAAAATTCATTTGCATTGTGGTTTTTTTTTTTAATAGAAGCACACTTCTTAAATTATGCTTCAAGCCATTTATTAAAATTGAAAGTCTTGAAGAGCTGCACAATCAACATGTGGTCCAGCAGCTGCATTCTGACTCCTTTGGGTTTCTGATCAGCCCAACATAAATTATAATAATGGGTTTTACAAAAGAATCACCAAGCATTTTCTGTGGATTTTTTTATGGTTGTTAATCGGCATAATTGAATATTTCTCTCTTTATAGAGTCTGGCAGTGATCAGCTGTTCCAAGGTCTTAGTGTTGAATAACAGCTATCTAATCTCACAAAGGCGCTTTTAAATTTTACCTGTGTACACATGGTAAAAGAATTAAGAATTTTTTTCTTATTGCAATTACACTTTTAGAACTTAAAGCCTATGTTTTCAATGTCTCTTCAATTGTAAAACAATCTTGATTAATTACTCACATTTCTCTGTAAAGCCTGTGGACGCTTTAACTTGGTAATGGGTTTGAAACAAGTAGAACTGTAGAATCATAGAATAGTTAGAATAAGTACAGTTACAAGCTTCAAAAATTATATTTACAAAAATGATTTACAAACTCTTCCTTAAACTCTCAAACTCATTCAACAAATTGGTGTTACAGCCTAATACTTGCATAATCTTAGTGCTTTATATTGTTGCTTGACATTTCTGGAAAATCTAGAGAAAGATGAGGGCAGTAAATTTTAACTGCACCTGTGATGCTGCAATGTCATATAATTTTTACATGTCCAAATCCTACACCATTCTGCTGTCAGTACATTTGAGGTGATTTGCTTACCAAAATGATGTTAAGGAGTGGGATAATGCTAATGTTTGGGTTATTTTTCACAGTAAAATAATATATTATTTTTTTTGATTCTTGGCTCATCAACCCCTCAACTGGCATTCTTTTCACCTGGAAGGTACCGGTGTTGTTATGTGAGCTAATTTATAAATTACAAAATTTTTTTTATTGGTTAAATAAATGACAAAATTTCCTTAGCATGAACATACATAAGCAAATATAATCTGACACCAAACACTGACATTGTACTTCCATCATTTTTAGGAAGCATGTCGTTTCCCAAAGGCTGAATTTCAGGAACCTGTAAATTGAGCAGAAATCAATAGTTTACACTGGTCTCTCTGAATTCTGAATATTCAATTTCAGGAGAAAGTGTGACTATTTTTTGCTTGGAGCAAAAGGGTCACCTTGATTTGCTCTGTATCAAAAAATAGTGGTTTTATTGGTCTGTTTTTTCTGGTGTTTATAAATATGTTATGCATAAAGAGGTTTTTTTATAAATACAGAATTGGGCTTCTGGTCTTTTTTCCTGGCTCATACTCATTGCTGAATTTTCTCTAGCAACCTCTATAGGGACTGTATTCTTTGACCAGAAGTTTGCCTTCACAGGTGTTTCTTTCTTACTGAAGTCTTTACTTAACTCATTCTCTTGCACTGGAAGCTGGAGATGGGAGTAATTTTATTCAGTTACACTTACAGTTTTGATTTTACATCCTTCACACATACTCAGTTCCCTTGCTATTTTATTTCCTCTGAAAGGTTCACTTTTTATAGGCTATCCATTCTAACTTATGTTCCTTTGAATTCAGTTCCCTAACTACTTCCTTTTGAGCTGTACTTGAAAGGGCTTGAAGGTTCAAGTAGTTTCTTTTTATTACTTTTTCCTGTGCATTCATCTCTCTCTAGAATTTCACTCATCTCAAAGTAGGTCTTGGTTATGATTCTGTAAGTAAGGGAATACAGTTAATAATTCCTTGTCTTATTTCTGTAAAAAATTGTTTCAACATTGTAAAGTATTAAATACCTAAACTATATTTCTTTCATTAAAAAAATGCTAATCACTTTGAATCCTGATTAATATTGCTCTATTTATTAGTCATAAAAAGGTATGATTGTAGCACCATTTCCTAAGCATCATTGAACTATGTTATCTAACTTCCCATCAAAGCACTACAAATTTAAATTAAAAACTAAAAAAAATCTTCCTGTAGCTTTTCTTTTTTTTCTATATTTTTAACTAATGTTGATCCCTGTTTTCTATTTTTTGTACCATTCCTTTCCATTTTTCATGGTCTTGCTGTTTAACTCTGGAAAAACATCAGTAAATTCTGGATGGCTCTTATTTTTCACCTTTCTTACTGAAATCAAGATAAGTGCCTGCTTTTCTTCCAGTATAAAATAAAAGAATTTGCAGATATTCCTGAACTTACTGATAAAATATATTTTAGTATAAAGCATTTACTGTGAGAACTGTTACACTTTTAAGGTCGTACAAGCAAAAGAAGGAAAAGAAAAAAGTGGGATTATATCTTCAAATAGCCAAAGGAGCACATCTGGTTTGTTTTGAGGTTTAATTGTATTTTATTTAATTATACTGGTTTATCCTTAATTCTGCCTGCCTGGATTTTCAGTCTTTTTGGAGAAATTTTGTCTTCATTTTGAAATTTCTATTTTGTTAGGTAAGAAATGCCTTCTCATCTTTTAAAAAACTGCTTTTGAAAGTGAGGAAATACCAATTCTGGATTAGAAAAGCTGTCATTTATCTTTGTTATCAGTCTTTGCCTCATATTATCTTCGACACTTCTGATGCATTTAGTGTCTGACCTGTACGACAATGATGTTTTATACATCTTTGCATTAATTGTGTTCTTTCAAACACTACAGTTGTGGTCTTCTCATAAGCAAAGGCTGGCAATTTTGCATCCTGCTCAGCTATTTATATCTTAATATCCCATTGCCACTTCAAAAATAGAAAAACCCTTGGTCTTGCAAATATTTAATTTTGCTGATGAAAAAGGGATCTGGAAGAGTACTCTGATTTCTGAGATCCAGCTCATGTAGAATTTCTTATGTGCCAATATAGTTGGGGGTGAGAATTGCTTTGAATGAGAGGAAGCCTGGCTATACAGACATGCTATTCCTGTCACTTAAAGTAGCAGAATTGCAAGGCAAAATCAGGTTTAAAAAACAGATTCTGCACTGTACCTCTGTGGATACTTTTAGGTGAAGAGATATGCTTTTTTTTTACCCCTCCTGGGGTTCTCTATAACACTCGCGAAGTTTTGTTATAGAAAGTGGATTTAGTTGTTTTTGTGTGAAACCTTTATAGCAGCAGTTGTAATGAAATTGTTTTCAGTATGCTTTGCCAAGATATTTGTAAAGTTTATAGATTTCTGGAAATAAAAACCTAGGACCTAGGATACTCAATACCAGTATTTTACAATAAAGGATTTTTTTTTTATTTTTATTTTTTTTTTACAAAAATTGAGTTTAGAAGATGAACAGTGATGACTATCTCACAGTACTTTAACAATTGATTAGAATTTTTTGGCCTCTTGCTCAGGACATTTTCTCTTTAATGCTATAAAAAGGTATTAGCAATTAAATACTCTATAGCCTCATTCTGGTTTCAGATCCTGGTAGGATAAGTTTACTAAATGTTGTTGGCATATCTATATATCTTGTCTCCATTAAAAATATTTTTAAACATACTTTAGAATATTTAAACATTATATAATTGAAAATATTATGTTTATAATATTGCAACAAGGTGTTGCCTCTGTTCTGTTGAGCACTTATATAGCTAGTGTGAGATATTGTGGGTGTATTTTTAAGCTGACTCAGAATTCAACGCTCAGAACACAAGAAAACCGCTACTGACATGCAGCAATCAGACCCAGAATATTTAGTAATCACTTTTAATTATCCCAGACAGTTTCCTTTATCTTACTTCTAGTGATGCAAGGTAAAAGCATTCCTTTTTCTACAGAAATTTTTAATCAGTTCTTTTGCCTTTTCTGACAGTTCTCTTTAGAAAAGGCTTTTGCACAATAGTTCTAGCTATTTTTATTAGTACAGTGCCCAGTACACCATCTTCAGAGAAGGTAAGTAAAATTTTACGGGCGCATGTATATTCTTCAGTGGTTTTCTTAAAAAAAAAAAAACACCAAACAAAGAAAAAAGCCCAACTAAAGTTTATATCATATTTTTATTATTACAAACCCTTTGAAAGATTGGCATCTAAATTTAAGCAAATAAAATGAGCGTGTGCAAAAAATAACTGACACTTCTAGAATGTGTTATATGATATTCTTTTCCTCATCCGTAAAACAATCCATCTCCCAAGTGCTGAAATGAGAATTTAGGCAAGTCAATGCTGAAAAGTTTGGATCTATAAATGCTTTCAGATTTGTATATGAAATACATCTACTAATAAGTAGAAAAAGTTTCACATTATATCCATCCAGATTTTTATATAAAAGTGCAAACATTAATATGAAGAAACATTTGTTATCATTAATAAAGGATTAAATCAGACATCTTGTCCTAAAAATGTCAATTTGTGGTCATACGTTTCAATGTGTTATTTTCCAAAGTAATTGTACTGTATTTTATTTATGTATTTTAGGCACGGAAGGGGCAGTGTTTGGGCACTCTGTGGAGACACCCCATATCAGAGCAGAACCTTCCCAAGACCTCAAGTAGGTGGTGTTAAAAAGTTGTTTTTAAGTCCAGTATTCTCAAAAATAATTGTCTTCTTTAAAAGCAAATATCTGTATAGTGATATATACTACATACTTAATGACATACATACCCAAAATACTGGTAGACTCGAAATTGTTCCATTGAAAAACCCCACTAACTTCTATCACAGAAAATGTAAAATACATTACTTTTTCTAAATTACTTGTCTTCTGCTGCAGAATCCTTGAGGAATGTGTTTTCCTCAGAGATAGGAACAGTCAAGGGGTTTTAAGTTCAAGTGAGTACAGTACTTTTTAATAGATTCAGACCAGATTTTGATTTTTTTTATACCTCTTGCAGAGCATGTAAGTCAAGTTGAAGTAAGCAGTCCCAAATTTTTTCTTCAAGTGGTATTTCTGGGTTCTTAAAATACTACAAGCACACACACACATGCTTCCAAAATTCATTTCCAAGTGAGGCTAGATTTGCAAATGAGAAAAGTCCAAAGTTTTCTGGATTAGTCACAAAAGTGGAGAAATAAGTACATAGTAAAACAGCTAGTCTAAAAATTACTAAAATATCTATGGAATGAGAAACAGAAAATTTAGAAAGGTTTATAGTGAAAGCTTTTTCTTGAAGTGCATGTATGTGCTCTGGTAAATACTAGTCTGTCATTTATATACATAATTAATGAGAATATATGACAATCGCAGAAAAGCAAAGGTCCCTCTCAGCAGAACAGGTGTGAAACCATATAAACATAGGTTGAATTCTTCTATGCTTCCTATGATATACCTATCCTTTTACCTTCCCGTCAGTGGTTACAGTGAATTGCCACTGAAAAGCATTGTTGAATGCCCTTCCCTATATTTGTAAAGGCATTTAGGATGATCATTGTGGGACCATTATACGTGAGGTGTAAGAATTAAATGACTGTGTTTAATTGTTTACGGTAATCATTTTAAGGTAATGTAATGGTTTGGGGTCTTCCAGAGGACCCTACCTTTGCCAAGACTCCTGTCAGTCTTTGTTGAGAGCAGTTGTAAAGATGTTTATTAGTGATGACCCCTGAGGTGGTATGGTATCTAATCAAAGGAGGCACAGCAGAAATCAAAGTTTCAAAGTGGAAACAAAAAACTTTTCTCAGGGGTGCAAAAAATTGAATAAGAGGGTGGAAATTGTTCTACTCAAAAGAATGTAGAGAAGGAGCTCTGTTTACTTTCTAATACTTAATAATTAAAGAGTGTAATTGTACAGTAAGCTAGACAACCCTGTGTCTTTAGGATTCATTTCATTGGGATTAAAATCTCCTCATGGCTTATGAAACTTACGTATCAGGCACTCACCTCTCTTGTCTTTTGTCTTTATTCATTGCCATGAAGCCCACTGTTGCTTAATGTTTTCCAACTCCATCATTCTTTCAGCTCATTTTTCCAAGGTGGACTTAAATTAGTGAGAGTTTTCCATTCAACTTTCTGCCCTCTCATTAATAACAAACTGAACCCAGACTTTTTTTTTTTTTTTTAAATGATGAAGCAGAAACCATTGTTGTTTGGGCAGCATTAACTTACATGTAAGCCATTTTTTTCTTAATACGGTCAGTCTATATCGTGTTCTACAATATTTTGTACACATGCGCTCCTATATATTACATAGGATTCAGTGATATTTCTTTTTTAAAACTCTGAAGTTATTTTAATCTTTTTTTAAAATATGAAAATTACCATTTGGACTTAGATTTCTTGGGTTTTGTCATGAGCCTTTCTAGAAGGTAACATGAATACCCTTTTTAGCCTTGTAGTTTGAAAGAACTATAAATAATTGTGGGTTTGTGCGATGTTTTCTGACACCAAAATAAAATTAGTCACTTAGATTGTATATATCCCTTTAAAGATTCCCGTTACCATATGTCTTTTAATCTTATTTCAAATTATATTAAAAAAAAAAGAAACCAAACTGTTGTGTTTTTTTTGAGTTCAAGCCCTACATTAATTTTCTCCAGAAATATTTTCTTTTTCTAATTTAATTAAATGTTGTCAGAAATGACAGTGATCTGTCATTTAGGGGATGATTTGCCAAGTACATCCAAATAAATAGGTCACCGATGACATCTCCCTGTGGCCTCAGAAGCTACCTCTGTCACAGAAACAAAACACTAACAAAACCTATTTTCTGTCCTCAGGCCCAACTGATAAAACTACATTGATATTGTAAAATCATTGTACCCTCTAAAACGGAATAGCTGTATCCTAAATGCTGAGTGGGAATGGTCCTTGACTCATGCTTCCCTGCAAATACTGCCTAAAAATTGTTTGGCAGAGTTGTAACTGAGTCTCAAATATGCCAAGAACTGTTTAGTTGCATATGTGAATGAGTGGCAGGCTGTGGCCTGGGACCTAGCACCTTTTAATGTTTTAATAAAATCTTAGGCAAAGTGTCCAATAGACCAATGCTGATAGTCCTAAACCAATTTATTTTTCCAAATGCTTCATCCCCATGCTTCGTGACTTCTGTAATTATCAGTAACATGGGACAGTAGAGAGTTTGTTGAGTTGACATTGGAGTTCACACAGGTAACTGCAGTTTGACAGTGAGTTGCAGTGCCTAAGTGCAAATGCATTAGGCTATGATAATATTTGTATACACAAGAATTTATGTTAGCTCGTTAATTAAAATAAAACTGATCCCATCTTTTTCATGTTGGAATGTGTATTTGTGGTGAAATAGTAAACCTCAGACATAAAGATATATTTAAATAAAAACTTTTTTCTTTTTTTTCCTTCAAAAAATGATGCTGGAAATTTACTCAAAACCTTAGATGTGTAAAACAGTTCACTACTGAATTTAAAAAGCGGAATTCTCACCAGCTTGATTACTGGGAATGAAACTGACCTGTAAGATATGGATTAAGGTTTTGATACTCACAAAGCTCATAGTGTTGGCCCCCAAAGTCCAGGGATTTTAGGTCAATATATTCTGGACAGGGAGCCAAAAAGAGAAAGTCAGATTCATAGTAGCTTCACTTATTTAAACTTTGTCTCATCCACTCTTTATTCTGTATCCATATTTTGGGGTCTTCAGACAGAGCAGCATCTCTAATATTTGCTATTAAAAATTGTTTTGTAAAAATAAAATTCAGTTTTTATTTAAAATTATTCCTTCCTGTGTGCCCAACCACTGTGGTCCCATTTTTCTGTTATATTTTCAGATAATAGGGAGATTTTGCTTTCAAAAAATGTTTTTCTACAATCCTTTGTGAAAGCTGGTAAGACATGTTGTGTCAAATCCCAAAAACTAGTTAAATCTGACTTTCATTAGCTGGGATAAGCAGCATAAAAGAGTACATGCCTTAGAATCAGTAAAATGAATTATACCTTAGTAACTTAATCTTCATATTTCTCTCTCTACTTTTTCTCACAGGAACACAGTAAGGAAAACAAAACTGCCAATATATTCCCCAAATATTGGTTTTAGGGTAATAGTGCATTAAAACATGGTGCATTAATAGGTAATATCCATGCATAAAAGAGGCAGACCGTAGTTAAATGCAGATAGATTTGCCCTCAATAATCTTCTTAATAAGGGGGTAAATTAATTTGGTTTTGTTCTCTGGGTTTAACTGCAAAATCAAATTTAATGTGTTTTTTTCATCTTCTGTGTCAAGCTTCGCATACCATTGACTATCATGCAAGCTAATGGTGCGCATAGTGAGATGAAAATTGATCAATGTGATGGTTTGTAAGAGCCATTTTTTGTGACGTTTAAGGGATGGCTTACTAAAAGGGGAAAATATCTATTCTATAAAAACCTGGAGCCAAAAAAAGGCATCAGAAAGGAATTTTAACATTAACCTTTTAGTTGTCTGAGCAGGCTGAGAGTAACAAAACCCCTGGGACTGTTTATCTCTTTTTACTCAGAAATCAAATAACAAGTCACAGCTCATCAAAAGAGAGAAAATGCAGTAGAGTAAAAATCCCAGCTTAATTCCTGTGCTGTTTTAATGATGTCAGCTTCTAGTTACTTTCTCAGTATTCTTTTTTTTTTAATAATGGGGACATGTTTACTGTTTATGTTTTCAGAATTTGGTGTTTAAATAGTTATTTCAGTGCTTGGGTACATGCTTTGACAGAAACTTGTTTGCCCAGTCTTTTCTTTAGCTGTTGAAAATATTTTATTTTTGTTTAACATACATGTTCATGCAAAAATAAAGATGGGTGTTATGCTTCTTTTTTTAACACATATATATGCTTTTATATATAAAAGACATTGAAAAGAATAGAGAACAAAGCCGGTACTAAAAGTTCATAATATGCAGATAGGACACAGTAGGAACAAAAGGTAACTAAGTATGGCTTTTATACTGAAAAAATAATTTGCTTTAGTGTTCAGTGACAATTATTACATCTGACATTGGAGAAGGGAAAAGGCTCTAGTAGGAACTGAGATATGAAGGGAAAAAAGTACTGCTATCACAATAGATGGCAAAATTAATTGAGTTTCATGTAGTTAATAGTCTCCATCCCTGATCTGTGACTGAGCTAAAGGTTAAAATCAGGTCAAATTGCCAAACTTATAATAAAACTTTCAGACTGGGAAGCAAACACTGTAAGACTCATGATTTGGCAATGGTAGAACTTCTAGTGAAATTGATAGAAAAGATGGGTTAAAAGAGTCATCTGTTGTGTTAGGTCCTTTAGTCTAAACTCATTAGTACGCAATGCTTTATGTTGAAAGATTCATTAAAGAAAAGAATTACTAAGGGATTAAAGATAAATAAAAATTGGGGTGAAGTAGAAGGTGGGTATATTGTGAAATCCAAGGAAATATTTTCCCCTTGAAAAGATACCAAATCTTCTAGGAAACAGAAAATAGGTAGATGTCCGTTCTGGAGCTTAAGTATTTTATATAGTGGGGTATCTAATAAGAAATAAAAGGCAAGACAAAGGGTGTGTTTAGAGACATTTTAAGTGGTATATAATAAGCACATATTGTTCATAGCCTTCCTTCAGCCTTGAGG